CTTCTTTCCACGTCCCCCTGGCCTCCCCTTTGGGGGAAGCTCAAGGGTTTGGAGCGGTGACATGAGAGATTTGGTGTATTGTCTGGCATAAGCTTTGGCTGGTGCTTTAAAATTCAACTTGAGTTCAGCAAGTACCGCTAAGCCTTCGTTTATGTAGATTCGGGCCGTCTTCGACGAGGCCCACCTCCCCTGAACTAGGAGGCGATCTAACGAGCCACGCCGTCCAAAGTACATGGTGGCACCTCCTCTTCGAAGGCTGTATGGACGGAAGTCGTGACCTCCAAGCTGACATGCCTCCAGAGCATCGTTAAAAGTCTTCCTCCAACTGTGTAGTGTACCGCAGAGCAATGACGGGGTACCCGGTGTTTGAAGCCATTGCCACAGTCTGCGAAGTGTCTCCTCTTCTCGGATCGTCACACTTTCACTTGCTCTTCCCTCCTTTGGTCATGCCGAGGGAAATGACAGCGGGCGACCTTGGTCCCATCTGAGTAATGTGAGTCTTTCGGATGCCCAGCGGCTCCCCGGTGCGTAGGAGCCCATGAAACGCAAGGAGCAAGGAGAGTCCAAAGAGCCCGTTGCCCGAGAAAAGTGAGTAACCGACAAGGACATGTAGAGCTTCTACTGGTGGAGGAGGAACTGGGCAGATGTCCTCTTATGGCAGGCTGCTGGTCCTGCACAGATGCGATTGTGTCGCAGGCGAGTGCTCGCCCCTCACCAGTTTCCCAAAGGAACTCTATGTACTGCGAGAGGAGGTAGTCATGACCAGCCGCATCGCGCGGAAAGACTCTGCCTTCATCTTTTAGGTAGTTCTTGTACTTCTCAAGTGCTTTGTTGTATCGATCTCTAGTCTTGCTCTGTACTGTGAGGTTCCTAAGTGGGCCTAGGTTTCTTCTCTGTGCCTGTCTAGCTGCCTTACTTCTACCTTCGAGATGCGCTGTCTGCCTTCTCACCATTTCTTGCGGACAGGCCGCCTAGACGGCCGTCCTCCTCATCTTCCTGCTGCTGCTTCGTCCGCGCGACAGAGAATGTAGGCACACAAGACTATCGATCATATGAATGAATTTGGAGCGAAAAGTCCTTTGTTTCATGATTCGCCACTTGAGGGTGGTGAGCACGGCCCTCATCTCAAGCACGTTGATGTGCTCCGATGAGCCTTTCCAATGCCAGCCTGTAATAGTCTTCCACTTCCAGAGGGCAGCTGGCAAACTAGCCCGAAGGCGGTGATACCTAAGGATCTCTTCAGACTGGGCCTGAACCATGATATCCTCGCCCTTGATGCTGACCAGGTTCAAGAGCTTCTCCACCAGCCGCTGGCCTCCCTCACTGCTCCCCTCAACTGCAGGAGCATCCAGTGGTGGCCTCTGCAGAGCCCTGCCACTGTGTTGCTTCGCCCCGGTGTGGTTCGATCAACAGCCTCTTGAGGAGACAAGAACGGGCATAGCCCCAACTGGCCTGCGAGTTGTGAGAGAAGCCATGTCACCACTCCAGGTGTTGCCGATGAGCGTCTTGCGTTCGTCTGCGTGCGCCTCTGTGCCATGGAACTGCCTACTCATGCACTGAAAAGTATAACCGCTAGGAAAGCCCATGATGACCTCTCTTTCCCTTGCTGATGTTTAGTGGTTTCCTGGTTGCCCTGTATTTCCTGATTTGTTTTTTTGGGGGGG